TAAAGCAGATGATTTCTTCCAACTCGTGAACGTGCCACGTACATGAAAAACATGCATTTTCTATATCATCTATTTCGTCTGGTCGAATTTTTTCGACTAGCCATATAAAATTGTGTGCATGAGGCAGAACTCGTTCTTGCCATTCTAATACATCCAGCATCGAATTTTCCCAAAGACGCGTTGTTTAACAATGTAGTTCATCAGGGACCGTATTCTTCAATGACCTTTAAATGTTCAAGCTAGTCTTGGATATACCTACACAGTAGGTTTAATGGACTGACACCTATCAGAAAACAACTACTTCACTGGCTAATACCACTTTCCAAAATTGAAGGTTTCAGTTGTATTGCCAATTGCATGTGCAGGAACTTTCTGTAAAGATTTCTGCACTGACGCCTGTCGAATATAATCCAGCACCGTTCGTGGTATTAGCCAGTGGATTACTTGTTTTCTGATAGGCGTCAGTCCTTTCAACCTACCGTGTTGGCTACCTACCTACCGAGACTGGCTTGAGCATTCAAAGTTCATTTCTTTAGATTTGTTTACTGCCTGTCTTCAAGCATATCCCACTAACTAATAAGAAAAAAACCGTATTCTTTGTGTAAATTCACGTGCGGTGATGTCGTGTCGATCACTTGACGTTTGTCCGGGAAGCAGCATTTTGCTAGTTCCAATCCATTTTGGATTACACGTGTAAGTAATGAAGAGATCTGGCCGACCGTAATGACGAGCATATGTCATTCCATCTTGCGTATATTCATGCATATGATGTGGATACCTATACAGTGCATTTCTTTGATGCCCCCCTTTGATTTTTTGAACGGGTCAACTCAAAAAATTGAAATTTGGGATAATGAAATTGATGCATGAATACTTCATTTTGAAGTAAAATTGACAGATGAAACTTTCAAGATTACGACTGGGAAAAAAAGTAAATGGAAAGGGGTGTCTTGTGGCACATCATTTTGAAGCTTCTGAGGAGTACTTCACAACCCTAGAATATGAAGTCAATATCTTCACATACTATAAAATGGCGGAACATTCAATAATTGCCTGAAAACATTGACATTTAATTACATAATATGAGGTAATAAGCTTGAGCTCAGTTCACAAGATGCTCGAAATGGTTGCCTTGAACTTCTTGACATATGAACAGCCTATCCAATATTTCACACCGTACATTTTCGAACACAGTAACGTCAATATCTCTACAAATATTTATTATTCTCTGTCGTATATTCAATATTGAAGCAGGTTCAGTTTCGTACAGCTTTTACTTCAAATAGCCCCATAAAAAAGTCCAAAGGTGTCAAATGTGGCGAGTGGACTGGCTATTCTATAGGAAGGACCTCGACGGCCAATCCAACGACCGGGAAAAGTAGTATCCACATAGTTTCTTACTTGTGATGTTGTGATGCTCCATCTTGTTGGAATACAATATCCATATCGAATTCATTAGGATTCGCTTCGATGATTTCAGTGAAATCCGAAAACTAAATGAGAATTTTCTAACTGAAAAATCAACAACAACATTTAAATAGTAGGTAATAGAGCGTTCAAGGACATTCTACTTCTGAACACGTAACAAACACCATTTTACCATTATAGTAGGAAGCAATCGATTAGGGTCGACCGACTTCTGAACACTCAACAGTTATATCCAGATGATGACAAATGAGACTTTGTCGAAACGTTGGTGGGATCGAAGATAATATCACATACATGGATGAGTGTATGAGATGTTATTGAGTGTGTATGATATAAATCAAAAGAGAAAATTTGTGGACAAAACACTCAAAAAATGGAGGCAAACCGCGGACACGTGTTTCTGGCTATTGGCCTCATTGGTACTTCATGAGTAGAATTTGGAACCTCTTGCGTGAAGTGATTCTATAAAATATACTCCCACCTCCACAGAACAAAAATGCTATCTCCCGATGCGCCTTTCGCTCACCAAGTTAGCATCATCATGAGATGAATAAAATTACGCCTTACATCTATTTTGATATGCATAATTCACAGCATTATTGTTCATATTGCATTATTGTTCATATTGTTATTTGCTACCTGACTGATACCTATTCTTAATCTGTTTTCTACATGTAATGGATTGTTAGGAATGGAACCTTCATTATATGCTCAGAAATCAAAAAATGTGGAATGAGATCTAAAAATGGAGATAAAGGTCCTATTCCTGACAGCCCATTGTTCGCACTCTTGCATAATTACAGGTGAAGATTGGGTCGTAGCAGTCAGGAAGCAAATAGCAATAAGAAGCAACAAGATACTGGTAATTATTTCAATGACCGTCATCAGGTATAGTATTGATTCGTCTGGATGTTCATAAAATTTCGAGCATAGCACTAAGAACTAGTTTTAGTCATCTCCTGATGATGTTAACATGGTTAGCAAAACGCGCGTCAAGAGACGGCATTTTTGTTCATGTGAGAGAAAAGTTTTCTCAATAAATTCAAGAGAAACATTTCTGATTTTCTTCTTTCGTTTTTCAATCGTAGAAATGTTTTAGCAGAAAATCAATCTGAAGATGATTCGCAAATATTCGACATTTTTCAACTTCCCAAAATTGTATTCTTCGAATTATCTAAATATTTCCCGTTATTGATAAAATGCAGTTATTGTTTGAATGAGTGTCTGGTGTAATATTCAAATTAGAAGATAACAGCCGTAAATAACAATTCCAAGGTAACATGGAAAAGTTGATTGCAACTTCACTAGCACATTGGAAATTTGAATAACATAAATGGCGATGCTTATCGAATAAAAAAAAATTGGTTCATTCATTGTGGCAGATAACTCAACTAATGAATCGAATTCCCAAATTTTTGGAACGCTGATAGCTATTCACTAAATATATTCTGAGGTGAATGTAACTTTCTTTGAACTTTGTCGAAGAGATATTTTTCTTGTTTATCACAAGTAGTTATTCCATATCATTTGGTCATCGAAAAAATTGGGTCTTTCGAATTATTTCGAAATTATGCTGTGTTATATTTTCCTCACTAAGTCAGGACGACAGATTTTAACTTGTGAGCAGAGTAATGAAGATTGATATATTTTCTCTTTCCCAAGAGATATTCAAATTATACTACTATACTAATTAGTGCATATACAGATAAAAACTAGTTCGGAAAGGAATTTTGAAATTCAGGCACAGTTATTGATGCTTGTAGTATTTGCTAATCCATGAAATTCGAATTGAAACAATTTTTTTCAGACGTAGTGGGTACAATAATCAAACGTACAAAAGAGAGTCGAATTTAAATAGCATTCACTTATCTTTGGCAACTTTGAAAATGGAAATGGATTTATTTTCTCAATTATACTTTCGATAATCTCAATGAAGCTAAAAACGAAGCTCTATAAATATAAATTCGATTTCATATGATCCAGTCACTTGAAATTACGGATGTTATTATTGCTATCATTTCTTTTTCTGCTTATTAAAACAAATACAATATATTTTTGATGTAGATATGTTTCAAATAATCATGAAAGGTTCTCTTATTCGAAGTTCATTGTAGAAAACGCTCAGAGCAATGGAAACATTTTATTAGGTACCTGAAAATAAAAAAAAACTCTCGAAAAGCTCTACGATACATAAGGAGACGTGAAAGTTGCTATCATGTTTTTATTCAACTCAGTCAACCAATTTTCTGGGCCGTAATTTAAAAGGGAATAATTCACACAATCATAATCGAATATTACCGAAACATCTGGAAATATAAAATTGAATTCATTTTCTCAGTATGGAGTGGACGTCTACGATCCAAAAACTATAACAAAAAATACAGGTCCGTATTTAAAAATTCAAAGATGGGAGTGGCCCAAGTCAGATGACACTCTGTATAAAAGATTCATGGATATATTCTGAGTGCCCACATCAAGTGCCTATAGCAAAATGTGGACAGATTTTCAATATGTCTGCGGATAAAGAATATATAGTCAAAATAATAATTTGGGATTTTTTTCCTGTATATCTCCAGAACCAAAAGAGCTATATTCGATTTTTTCACATCATTGAATAGGTCTCTAAAATACACAACTTTGCCATAACTGAACCGACACTCTATCTCTTATCGTTTACGAGATCCCGATGTACAAAAACGAATTTGATTAGCCCTGTATAAATATTCATTATTTTTTTTCATTTGTACTTTTTCCAAGTAGTCATTTCAGCTCAGGAAATACCGAATGAAAAGTAATGTTAACTCAAAGATATTGACGGACAAAGTATTATGAGCTGTGTTCTCGGGTTTCGCTCCGTGTTCTGTGTTTTTCATCCTCATAACGATTATTTTCACAATATTTCTCCAAAGTCTCATTTGTCATCTTCTGGTGATCTCACTAGGTCATTTTTCAATTTCGATAGCCTCTCTGATTGTTCGAGATTAGAAGTTTTCGTTGCCTGCTGGTATTTTTGAGTTATCGAAATTGATGTTGTGTGCTGTCTGCAATACGTGTTGGAAGAGAGAAGATGTGGCGACATTTTTCCTTCACTACTAGTTTGTGGTCATCTTGGCATAGCACTTGGTACACTCCTTGGGACTCCAGTGGTATCTGATCCTTTGGATTACGAAGTATGGACCTTATTGTCCGTTGCGAATGAAGTTGCTACGTTGTGTTGGCGAAGAATTTTGCTGATTTTGTTCGTTGTTCCTTCAATATATGGTAGTGTATATGGCACTGATTACACGATCGGGAAGGCTGCCAGTTAACGAACACAGACAACAAGAATTAAACACCATCGAAACAACTCTACGAATGAATAACCACTCAGAGAAAATTATAAAAGCGGCTTCCAAGACCACACAGAAACCCAAGATACATCGGTCACCGGTGATCTGCAAGATATATCAGAAATACTCTAGTTACTTCGAAAGGAAAAAATTGTTGTAGCTGCTTCGTTTTCTGAAAGTCTACTATTAATCTAATTCTATTAATCCAATTCATTATTTCTTTATAGTTTTTTTCATTTACAGGTTTCATCATTGATTTCGTGTCTGGTCCAGTATCTTCCGGATTCACTTCAGCAGTAGCTTTAATTATCGTGACCTCGCAGGTGAAAGACATCTTAGGAATCAAAGCCAGCGGGTCAACGTTTGTACAAACTTGGAAAAGTATAATATCAGACATTCATAATACCAAACCTTGGGATGCCACTCTTGGAATAGTTTGCATAGCTGTTCTTCTCATATTGAGGGTAAGCATTTTGTCCACTTTTGTAGTAGAAAAATCCATTCAAAATTTTGTAGACTTCAAATAATACTCACATTATCTTATATTCTGACTTCTACCTATTCATGAAAGTTCAAAATATGACGAATCATTGACAAACTTGGTTTGATCTTCTTCACTTTGTATTTATTAGTTTCCTCAGCAATGACAGATTGCCTTCGAAAGTTTCCTATTGGAAAACATGATTTGAATATTTGAATATTAGGAGCCCAATAAATTGTTTCGATTTTAAGTTGGATTATAAATTTTCACAATTGCTAGTTTTTCGAAATATATTTTATTATCTGGAAGAACAATTCGTTCAGGCCAGTCTCAACTCCTTACGCTATACGTTAATGAACTGACATCTATCAGAAAACAACTACTCCCCTGGCTAATACCACGAAGGGCGGTGGATTATATTTGACAGGTTATAGGTGTCACTCCATTAACCTACAGTGTAGGGAGTTGAAACTGGCCTCAACGAATTGATCTTTTAAATGATTTGGTTTATAGCCAGTCTTCAAGTATGCCCACTGACTATATGTGAAAAGGAATATATCTAACCACAAGAAAAGTAATCTGTAGAAAAAAATCGAATTCTGGTCTAACGACATTAATGTATGCTTTGTTACTAACCATCGGATTGTCAGCAGATGATGCAATAATAATTGTAATCCAATCGGAAACACTAAATATCATTTAATCCTCATAATGTTAGAGAATATTCCAAACGAACGAATAGCAAATCAAAGAAAACAATAGAATAAAAGTGGATTTGAAATAATAACATGGAAGAAATACATCCAATAGGATGATTTAAAAATACGTATGTAACAAAATGAAAATGTCAAAACAGAAAACAAGTTGTTGGAGAATTAGATTCTTGCTCCTCTATCCATATGCATAAAATTGAATCAATATCTTTGGTTGTGTCAAGAGTTTTTTAAAAATAGAAAGGAATCGTCGAAAACATCAAGGTTTTATGCATTTTGCTACGATTATGATCCAACAGAATAATTCAACTACCGCTGCAACAAAAACTCAGGCATCGGTTTTCCCAAAGAAAAAAAAAATGACTCCGAACCGGATATAATAACGTCTGGGCACTCTTTTATAGATACTTTCACGTGGGGTGTTAAAGTACTTGGCACATTTGATTTCACAAAGAGCGGTACATATCAGGAATACGCAACGGACAGTACACCTCGAACTTCACCGTTCAAGAACTCTTTTATTCGGAGAACTCCGTTTATATGGAGTAATCTTTCTCTGAACGTTTTTCCATATGAATTTCATCTCCAACGATACACATTCAAGGGGAATCGCTACTTTCGCACAGGCCCCGCTCTTAGAGTGCCTTAAGTATTTTTTGTAGTGCTTGTTTTGTCCTTAAAATACTTTCTTGGTTGTATGTTCAATAGTTCTCAATATACAATATATTTCAAATCAATCGCCCACTGTCGTATAAGTTTATAACCTTTTTTTTACTTAACGAAATTTTTTTAAATTATTCGAATGTCCAAAAATTACATTGATAACATATTTTCAACAAACGTTATATTTTTATCGTTTTCGCAACTGACGCATTGACGCTAGGTAGAATTTCATACGTCATAATTTATGAATCATTTATGAACAAACAAGTCTGGTATATAAATCAATTATATTTTCCAATTTTGTCGTCATTAAATAATAATTAATTGAAAAAATGTTCTCATAATTTTTTATTGTTTAAAATTATTCTGTTTATGTAAATATAATACATTCTAATGCCAACCCCTCTCCATGATCATCATCATCATCATGTTGGAGAGGGATTCAAGCAAGTAAGTTGCGAAAATGATTTTAATATTTGAGAAAAATTATTGAATGTAGAGTTCCGAGAGCTGAGACTTTTTCAATGTAAATTTTCTCAGCATATTTTTTTTTTTTAGTATTGACAGTTTTTGGGTGAATAACGAAAATTGAATCATCTTCTTTTTCAATTTTAATTTGTTATCGACAGTTACAATTTTTGCATTATGTATACACACGTTCGCCTCATTCGGAATCCAATCAGCTATCGCTCATATTTTTTCGAGCTTTATCCCTGTTGTAGATTTATCTCTGTTGAACTCATACAATTATCAATATATTCTTTCAAAATATACACATGAATAGGTATAACAATTTCGTTGTAGATTGAATTGTAAACGGAAAGCTATGAAAATGTTTTTTATGTCAGTTCTTCAATAATTTCCACTAGATATAATATGACTAAAATAGAAAATCAAACCCCAAAATTTCAATACCTGGATTTGTCCCTCACCAGTCTGACAATTTGATGATGGTTAATACCCGTAACACATATTCTTTTGTATCAAAAATAAAATATCCCAACTGTTCCACAGATAATCAGCTCTCTGAAAATTGGACCCACTGGCTGTGATGAAGAACCAACCACTTTTCAGAAAATTGTAAATAAATCGCTTTGGTTGATTGGAACTGCTAGGAACGCCATTCTAGTCATCGTCTGTGGATTCATCGGACACTCTTTCTACCAGAACGGCCCGACACCATTCGAAATAATAGGTACAGTTCCTCGAGGATTACCGAAAGTTCGTGTTCCTCCCTTTGGATACGACAAGGTAGTCAATGGAACCATTCAAACGGAGTCTTTCGTTACTATGGTGTCGAATTTGGGGAGCGCTATAATCGTGGTTCCGTTGATTTTAATTCTAGAGAATATTGCCGTATGTAAGGCGTTCGGTGAGTTTTTTCAATTATTTTTTATCGGTTGAATATGAAAATAAAATGAAATTCTCTTAACCTTCTTTAGCGTTTTTCAAACTAGTATTACAGGAATCATCAAAGTTCTGACACGAACGAATCAATGAAACTGCTACAAAACAATCACATCTAGAGTTAGTTTGAAGTTGATTGACAATATTTCATGATGAATTTCATTAGATCCGACATACATTATCAGATATTATATAAAATGATTTGAAATCCCTGAAAGAACTAATAAAAAAAGAAGAATTGAAAACGAATAGCTGAAAATAACAATTATATTAGGCCCTGAAATGAAGTAACAGTGAAATGAAATACAAGTAAAAATAGAATAATTGAATAAAAATAAAAAACTAGACGCCTTCCTGAAGCACATCAACAGCGTAAGACCTTCCATCACGTTCACAATAGAGAAGGAAGTCCACAACGAATTACCATTCTTAAACGTATTGGTGAAGAGGACCTACACTAAGTGGGAAACATCTGTATACCGAAAACCCACCCACACAGGACAATATCTGAACCACGAATCCAACCACCATTCATCGACTAAAAGAGGAATCATCAAGACTCTATTAGACCGTGCTTTCAAGCTCTGTAATATGAAGGAAGGTCTCGAGACGGAACTAGACTTCATCAAAAATGATCTTCAACGGAATGGCTACTCCAGAGCGATGGTGGAACAGACTTTGGCTAAAAGACAACAGGATCCTCGCAAGGAAGAGAAGCCGTCACAACCAGTTCTTGCACTTCCCTACATCAGGGGATTTTCAGGAAGGATAAGAAGAATTGGGTCTAGGTACAACACCAGAACCTGCTTCAGATCCGAAAACACTATCTGTAGCAGCCTTACGAAAACCAGTCTACCAAACGCGGACTACGATTCCAAGAATTGCATTTACCGGATACCCTGTGAGTGCAAAAAATCTTATATCAGTCAAGTTCGCATTGAAGAGCACAAGAAACGCACACAGTGAGGGTTACCAGCAAATCAGGAATAACAGAGCATGTTTAGAAACATCAACATAACATCGAGTGGTTCCAAGATGACATCATCCACAGGGAGGAACATTGGTTTAGGATAAAATTCAAAGAAGCCCCATACATGTTGTCCAACAATGCATTCAGCCAAGCTAGCGTAGAGATACGCAACATATGGAAACCCATAATCAAGCAAAAAATTGCCAACTCCCGCCAAACGGTCATCAACCAGTGAAGCGGAAAAAGGAAAGCAGAGATAAGTGAAAGTTCTCGAATGACTCATAAACAGTCATCTTTCGGAAGAATTAATGCAGTCATCATTCGAAGACGATTGTGGATGCTAACAATCGAAACGTCGTGAAGTAACTTGGGTTGGAATCTCTCAAGTTTAATTTTTTTATTTTTATTTTTTATTCAATTGTTCTATTTTTACTTGTATTTCATTTCACTGTTATTTCATTTTAGTGTGTTTTGCTTAATATAATTGTTATTTTCAGCTATTTTTTTAATTAGTTTCAATTAGTTGTTTCAGGGATTTCAAATCATTTTATATGATATCAAACAATGGAAGTCCGAACTGATGAAATCCTACATCTACAGTTGAGTTTTTTGAACATGTCTGATACTTTTCTCTTCACAATATTCCTGAATTATTATTTGTGATGTTGGTGATTGCATAGAAATAAACTTTGTCGATTTAAAATGTTTGGAAGGCTTATGTTCATTCATCTGATCACTAATTATATATTTTTTGTATTATAGATGGTGAACCGTAATTACACATAAAATAAAAGACCAATTTTCTGATCCATGTTTACTTGGTGTTTGTTTCTGACGAGCTCAAAAGAACACATCCATTTCGAAGAACGTAAATACTCGTACAAAGCTTGCATACGGGACGGTTTCGAGAGTAATACAAAAGCTGAATTTCCCATATTGTAAATAAATCGGGCCTCACTAGGGTATCTGTTCGATGTAAATTAATCCGAAATAATTTCTTTCATTCATTGAGAAAATTATCAAAATGGATCTGAAAATTAAAAATCTATTCGAAATAAAAATTGGTTGACGTTTTCAAGGTCGACGTTTTTATATATCTGAGTGTGCAAAGGTCAAATCGATGTATAGAAAAGAACTTTCAAGTTCTTTCATATATTAATTTTTCTTTTTAGACCAGGGGTCGGCAACTTTTTAAACAAGGAGGGTCCCATGTGCAATTTTGGACAAAACCATAGTGCCACTATAAAAAACTGTATAATTCTTATACAAAAATTGTTGAAAGTGATAATGATAGTGACTGATAAAGTAAGAAAATTATCAACAATGTTTCTGAAAATTTCAATCAAGAAAGATACATAGCACATCAAACGTTTTTAGTGTAATCCTGGTCTTTGTGTTTCTCGCGAAATCTTTTTTAAGTCTGGTACATGTCTATTTTCTTTTAATATTACACACGCCTCTGAATGTTCTGTTATTAATCAGCTTCAATATGAATTCGAAATGATTTCCATATAGGCAAAAACTTGCTCACACATATAGGACGATTGGAATGTTGAAAGCATGGTAAATACCACTTTTTTGGGGTTAATACATTTTTCTGGCAAATTAGTCCAAAATTTCAGTATTTCGTATGATTTATACTGAGGCTCACTTTCTAAAACTCTTCTTAGTTCCACAAACTTTGTCTTCAATAACTCGAAGTTCCTATCCATGCAAAAAAAATCATCAAAAATGATAGTAAAACCCATTAGGTGTGTTTTATCAAAAAGTAGAACATGTGATCATGTTAATGGAAATCTTAACCTCTTTCAGCAAATTCTTCTTTCAGTGAAGTCATTTAGTTTAACATTTTCTCATCAAATGCAGCATTATCACAATTATTAAGGTTGAGTAAGTATGTTTTTAGAGTTGGAAAGTATTAATATGCATGGGAGGTAATATCGCGAATGAATACAACTTTTTTCATTTCAAAAGACTTCCAGGAATCTTACAAATCTAGAACAGTTCAACCTGAAACTTACAACTTAAGGTTTAGTTCGCCGAGATGATTTGTACAATCAGTTTGGGACATTAACTCACAAATCCATTATTCATCATCTATCCTTGAGCTCGATTTTATTGCAGCAAAAATGACTCAATTTTTCCCGAACATTCCGCAAATCTAGAAAGCACTTTACCGTAGCTATGCCAGCGTATATTGCTATGTAATGGAATACCTGAATATGCACTTTTCATTTCTTGTGAAAATGACTTGAAGTTGTCTGTGAGTTAATGAAGAACGACCAGCAATGTAGTTGACAACATTAACAACGGTATCCATAACGGATGCGAGATCCTCACATAAAGTTTATTGATGAATGAGTCAACGAAATTTCGAAAGTAGTCGACCAATACGAGCAGCAAGAAGAGATACAAATCTCTTATGTGTCCCGATCATAGCGGGTGCTTTATCTGTAGTTACGCAAACAATCTCAGTTAAATCTGATCACCGTTTCTGAAAATGTTTAACGAATTCTGATAATATATCTTTTTTTCTTGTCGTACCTCAGAAAAGAAGCAGACATATTAGTTCTTCATGCATACGGTTACTGTCAAAGTACCGCGCAACGATTGTCAACCGAGAAATGTCATCAACGTCGCACCTTTATTCAACGTAGTACTAAATACGATATTGGCGTTTAATGGCGTCGATCTGTTATTTCTCTTCATTTTCTGTCATTCCAATAATTCGCCTCTCAACAGTCATCAAACAATACATCAGCACTTCTCAAAACGTTTGCTTCATAAATTCCGCCTCAGTGAAAGATCTTTCCTTTTCTGCCAATTATTGAGCAACTTTTAAAGTGTAATCGATTGCTTGATATTTCCCTCTACTAATTTTTGTAAAGAATGTTGCCTACTTTGTATACCAAGCAATTGTTCTTCGGATTGTCGGCGTCTTAAACCTCGATTCATGTCTAACAGTTAGACCCTCAGAAAAGTAGGGTAAGAATTTTTTAAAGTCTTTGGTAGTAGACAGGAAGAAGAGGCAGACTTGTATTGCCTTAATGGTTACCCCATTTTTTGCCCCTCATTTTTTTATACTATTACCTGGAAAGTAAAATCAGTATCTGAATATTTACCTGAAAAAATGTCGGAAATGCTTTGGAATATAAGATAACTTATGGAAAAAATCTCCAGAATTGTATGAACACAGATGTTGATCAGTTCAAACATTCCTTCAACTTAGTGAAAAGAAAGCATGTAACAAATGTTAATTCTCAAATGTGATTTTCAAAAATGTTTCAAGAGAAATTTCAAAATTCGAAGACTACTGTAAAGATAATTTGTTTGGTTTTCAAACGATATTTTACTCGACTCCTCATGCTATTTGAAAATTCAGAGTAATGAACAAAATTACGAGGTGCTGGTTCTAAATCCACCAGCCCTAGTATTTCCGACATACATTTGTCCTTAAATATCATCCATAATAAGGAAGAAGACCATATCTATCAGTCAAAAATTAATTTTTTTCTTGACCAACGAGTTGAATATACTAATATATACATAAATATACATGTTCCTTGATTTTGGAATATCAGAGCTGAAGCAGTTCATTGAATATGAATGATCCAATATTGAATATATAGGAAGTAAATTTTCTGAACACAGTAAATAAGAATTGACAGCTGGCATTTTCGAAAGCGTTCAGATATGGCAACTAATAAAGGACCTCAATATTTTCAAGTTCATGAATGAACTTGACTGGAACTCGTTTGTATCAATTGCTCAAAGTTCATTGGGTGAACAGAAAACTGACAACCATCAAGAGCTAGTTAACAACAAGCCTGAAAACAAAAAAAATCTGATAGAGCTAAAGGGCACACTGAAATCATGAAGCAACAAATCAGAATTTCTCAGCACCAGAAATGTTTTGCCCTATGTGATCAATTCTATTTGGGCGTGGAAATAGCGAGGTGAAAATATTGTCCCATTTCTGCCCAATCGAAACTTTT